CCAAACACACTGAAGGAAACTCACCAGGGGAAGTGTTAAATTCATCTCTATAACTGAAATTTCCACCGGCACTCCGTGATACCGTTGTGGATGTCGTTGGTGTGGTAGAGTTTAGGTTGATTGTAGCTGTATCAAAAGAATCGTGAGAAAGTTATGCACAAGATGCTGTCTAGAAGAGTTGTGCAACGCATCGCTAGACTAGTTGTCGTTGCTAAGGGAATGCTTTAATCCAATTGCCACAGATGTCTGTTTTTCTACCTCTAACTCTCTCCTTTGGGATTTAATCCAATCTGAGTGTAGATGTGATGGTACTGTCAGTTAATTACTTGCTATGGGATTGCATTCATGATACTTTTTCTTAGTACTTATCTCCGGTGCGTTGTTAACCAAGTTATTTCATATACTAATTTAGCGGAATTATGTCGGTATAGCCGTTTGCTTTAACAGATATATTTTATTTGATAATGTCATTTCAAGTGGTTGGTTTTCGTTAGACATCCCCGGTGTGACTGCGCTTGAGGTGCATGTTGACAAGGTGCCTGCGGGTCTATTACCCACAATCACCTCCATACTGGTTTCAGGAGACAGTTGGTCGTTGCTGGATGGGACGGGGTGCACGGTCCATGTGGTCGTGCTAGGCTCAAAGAGTGGTTCCATGCACTCAGTGTGGAGCGGACTACGGACCAGCCACCGCCTTGTGTGCGCTTGATTCCCCACATACAACGTGCATGTGTTTACCTGTGAAGGAGTGTGCGCGGGCTCTGTTGATGAAACGTGGCTCTCATCCACATGCCTGCCGGTCTTATTCCTTCGGGTTTACACTGGGTATGGGGTGTGTGGTTGGAGCTGTGAGTGGTGCAGCGCAAGCCACCCATAGTCCCTCTGTAGGCACAGGGTATCCTGAGGCTGGCCACAGTGGTAGGTAACTTCGAATCCGGGTGCCGCCAGCCATGATGTAGTATATTCAAGAGTCAATTTGTTGAAGTATATTGTCTATGCGACACCGCCCTTGTTGTGGTCTGGCACGTAGATGGTGGTTTATCAGCAGGCTGCGTATTCCTAGTTCGACACTAAACAAATGCTTCTGGCTTAGTATTCCTAAAAGTGGGCATCATCTCAGTCAAACTTAGGTCAATTTACGCCAGCCTTTTCTGTTGCTTGGACTCTACTCACTTTCATTATCTTCTGTTTGTGATTTCTAGGAAACCAGAGATAGTTGGCTTTGGACATCAATTTCACTAAATGCGTTAAATAGACTTTTATGTGCCATCAACCACAAAGTCAAGTACTTAAACATAACGATAGTATTCATACGGCACTTAAATGCTTTCGGTCGAAAACACAATGTATACTAGTGATTTCTGTCTAGTGTATTGTTTTGAAGTTCAGCTCTATGGAATCCCCACTGGGATGAGTGTTACTTGAGTTGAGCGGTACGTGATGCGGTACTGTATTTCCCTATCGCGACTGTGTCCGACAGCAGAGTGGGATTTGTATCCATCGGTTGTTGTATACGCAGTGCCGTGAACCAACGAGAATTGCTTTAGGAAAAGCGACTACTGTAAAAAATAATCCACCATTTGTAAGACATAAACATAGCGAAAAGTGTTATTTACCACTCCTAATTAGACCATTTGGTTTCTAGCGGGAATGTTTGAAATGACAGCGGTTGTTTACTGTCTCATCAAATGGTGGAGAATTGCAGGATTTGTTTTGATACCTGTCCGTGTCATCATCGAATGTAATCGCTATGCAATGCAAAAGGTTGAACAAACTCAGACTTTATTTTGAGGCGTTTGAAATGAAATTTATATATTGGGAAGAGTTATACGGAAAGCTAAGTCGCAGTGTGTTCCGAATATCAGACGGAAAGCATCATGTTTCTTCGTGCTTAGAGAGTTTCCGACATAAACCCATGCTGTAAAAATGCATCGTTATTATCTTGTTAAGAGGGTTGATTTCTATAACAGTGACATGTAGGCGCGATCCGTGGCGTTGCACAGTTTTCAATATGCCAATTTTTACGCATTTTGAATTATCCATTAAGGTCACCTCGATAGTCCTATGGATAACCAAATGTTTATTGAAACATTTGCTGAACGGTGGCATGTTGCTTTCGTCATTTTCTACCAGAAACGGTTGCTGCAATCACTTCCTGATATCGGCCTGTTTGGGGCGGACCTGATAGAAACAGAACGTGTCTTTTTAATAACTTCGAGGAAAGCAATTTGCAACCTTGTTTTGATAGTTTTCTTTCCATGGTGCTGACAAGATTGTTTTCAAGCAACACTTGCCACTTTTTTACCCTCCGATTTTTCTCCAACCGTGGTCTAGTTTGCAGTCGTAGGCGACACGGTAGTCGTGATTTCTTCCGGGAAGACTGGACATAGGTGGCGTGGAAGCAATGTAGAATTATTACTTTCATTTTTAAAAATAACACAGTGTTTGGAGTTTTGCCGACGTCCGCTGTAAATGCTTCACAGCTGTAATTTGCCAAAAATTTGATTTCCCTTATATTTCGGTCAAAAATATCCTGAATTCTAACTCCAGCTCTCTCTCCGGCGCTCTTAAAATTCCGAGGAACTACTGCTGTAGATGCTCCGCAAAATGTAGTTTTGAAGTTGTGGGAGCTGAAAACTGTCCCAGCAGAAGGGAACTGATCAATAATATTCCCAGTTTTCAAAGGTCTCACGTTCTAAATGCACAACTCCTATAGAGATCAGTCTAAACCCAATTGTCTCTAAGGTACTCGCCTCTGTCATTTTGCACAGACTTGCTAGCGCACGTGAAAACTGGATTATCGAGGATCGACCCGGGTTTTGTCGAAGTCGCGTCTGTATGGATGACATCTTCATATTACGTCGGTTGTTGGAGCATCGTTGTATTTATCGCGAGCCACTGTGGTTATGTTCATCAACATCAAAGGTACCTTCTCTTCCGCTTATCGAGGTGCAGTTTGGAACTGCCTAGTGAGGAAGGGTGTGCTCCAGAAATATGTAAATGCCATAAGAGCGTTGTACGAGCAAAGTGCGAGCAGGCTGTGGGCTTACGGCAAACTGTCATCGTCCTTCAATATCTCAAGGTTTGTGAGACAAGGTTGGCCGCTGTCACCTTTCCTTTTTAATTTCTCTATCCACATAATTATGGAAACGGCGTTCACTGAACATGACCTACATGGCGTGAAGCTCCTCCCAGTTGACCGTCTTCTCGACTTGGAGTACGCCGACGACATTGCTCTTACCTGTGACAGCTTCTAAGCGAGCCAAGTGGCACTGGACCAATTAGTACGTGTTGTCAGTCGTTTTGGGCTGTATTGCACTCACTAAATGCAGTCTTTCACCGACATTGGCAGTAACCCACCCCTGCGGTGACCTTTAATGGGCATCACAAAAATGTAGTCGATAAATTCAAGTATCGAGGTAGCTAAATATATAGGCGCCATGGAACGGAAGCTGAGATCAAAAACCGCATAGAGAAAGCTCAAGTCGCTTTTGCCAATCTCTGACGTCTGTGGCGTCGGCGCCATGTAGATCTCTTCCTAAGGAGCTGAGTTTACAATGCAGCCCTTTGTTCAACCCCACTGGATGATGGCTAATCCCGGCCTATCAAATCAACCGGCATGAAGAAGTTACTCACGTTTGATCATCACTGTATTCGCAGCTTAGCTCCTGCCTGGTGGGAACACCGCGCGTGAAATGAGCGTGTTCGGCGTCGCGTGTTTAGGGTAGGCAGATCGAATGAACCGTTCAGCAGTATTATATCACGCACCGCACTCAGATGGCTGGGCAGCGTGTAGCGCGTTGCAGCACACAGACTCCAGCGACTGCGTTGTTTTCGCGCCCGGGGTGTGAATGGAAGAAGAGGAAGGGTGGCCAAGCAGTGACGTGGACAAGAGTAATATAATCCCTTACGTTGAAGTTGGTGTCACTTGGTATGTCACGACTGCGTGGCTGGGGTCCGAAGGACGGTGAGCACGTTTGCTTGGATACCCAAGTTAAGATGGCAAGGAGCCGACCGCATTGGGTTTATGTCCTCAGTTTTTTTCTCCCTCCCGATCCCGCTTATTTTCCTACTCCAACCAAGACCACCCTCTTGGCGTAAGATATGTTACTAAGCAGTCCATTGCCTGTTTCCTTTGGCATGTCCTAATTTTCAGCATCTTGCGTTTTTGCGACCACAATGGGACCAGAATTGGGATCGATGGAAGGAACAGTTTCAAACAAGTGTAACAAATGGTGCAAAGGTGTTGTTAGCCGTCCAGAGTAATAAAAAAGTAATTAACATCCAGCTACTCCGGAAATTTTGCCCTCCATATTTAATATGGAACAGTTAAAGGTAATAAATATACCGTCCCCTGTCACATGATGCCCTGGGTGAACCGCCCCCGGCCCCTTATGCTACGCCTCGAATTGCAATTTCAGTAACCGGAAATGTTCATCCGTCCACTGCATGTACTTGGGGACCAAACAAATAAGAGACAGGGTTATATGATTGGGTAATGATGATATATTTGACAACTTTCTCTCGTGCCTGGACGACGATCCAATCTTTGGGCTTATACATACTACTCGTAAAATAGCACCTTAGTACTTTTGAAGAAGCAGTAGTCTATAACCGTGGAACCATGGGAATGAAAAATTATTTAATGTTGAATTCTTCAAGCCAATGTGGACGTTAGAGAAAGTATAGTAATGGTTCCTACTGTAACCAATCCATTTGTGATGCCCGTCCTGTGCCAGGGTAACAGCAACTTATTTGGGTGCATGACACTTGCGACTTGATGTCAAACTTACAGAACTTACTATCGTCAGGTATGACGTTTATCAGACACTAGTACGTGCGGAAAGTAAACTGAGAGAGGACGTTAAGAGACAAATCCTATCAAAACGTTCCTTGCAGCTTTTTCAAAGCCGCTTGATAAATAAGACTATAGGCGAGATTGAAGCACTTAACTGAAAAGTTGACTTGTTGGCAAAAACCAAGATTTGTGGTGAGCGTAATTATTGCAGCAAACGCTCAAAGACACAGAATGAACTAGAAGAGCACGCACTGCTTGAATAAAAGGCATCCATTATCTCCAAATCATGTGAAACAGCTGACGAATAGACCACGGTCATTGAGTTGCCAGTGGAGTTCACACCGGATTGAGGGATGGGCTGATCTTTATCGAGATTTGCCAGTACAGTTCCACCGCAGGTAACTCCGTCCAAAACACGAAGCCGAGAGCCACGGGATTTCATCTGCCAAAGGTGCCACAGGGTTTATTAAATAAAAAGGCCAAAATTGGAACCCTCTGCAAGTTTTACTCTGCATCTTTCTTTATGCATCGGTCTTTTAACTCGTGACGCTAGAACAAAGACATTATCTGCCTGTGCTGGAGACGTCGTGATAACTGTGCATCAAATACGGCTAACGAAAGCACTGGTACAACAATTTCACAAACAGTACATCTGCTTTCCTATCAGGGATACATAGATAAGTTGCTTACACATGAAATGACAGACTCACATTTTACTCAACTTACAATTAGCCGGTTGAAGCCAAGATGAACTATGCCTCCGGGTGATACCGTTATTCGCCAAACACAGAGTACCTGAACTTTCCCGTGACCCCGATAGGAGAAGTTGCCAGTGGAGTCCGTCAGCTCCTTTCCGCAATTTCCTGTAAGGATATTGGCTGTATTAGATAAAGCATCAAACTTTCACTCAAAGCTACTTGTCATAATCCGATTACCAGAAAGTGGCTGAATGCATGGAATTCAAAATCAATAGCAACTCCGCTTGAATGCAACAGTTCTTCAGCTAAACATGTTCGAAGTTTTCGCATGGTCCGTAACCTAGGGTGCTGACACGCCAGTGAACGCGTACAGCCATCTATAATAGCACGATTCATCACAAAATAAACTGCCTGATAACAAGTGTGATGATCTGTGTTAACCTAAGGAAGATGGACCAATCGGTTCCTGGAAATATGTAGCAAGGAAATGGATGCATGGTTGCATGTAAACTTGTTATCTGCAATAAGCCACACACGAGCTTTAAAACTCACAGTCTTAGAAAGAGTATAACGAAACGCGATGTAAGACAGCTTCTTTATTTGCCAGGCTGAGTATGATGAATCCACGCACAGGGTAGCCACTTAATAAATTTTTTATACAAAAGTGATTAGTCTAATTCAACATTTGATGTTTGTTTGCAAATTTCGAGCCTGAACCTGGTCACCGCCAGATCTATGTAGATGGAAGCACAAAAGTAGACCAACTTCAGGCATCACTTTCCTCACAACGTTGTGTGCAAGTGAGCCAAGTGTGAGCAGCGAAAATGAGTGTGCCCAAATGCGTCGGTTTCTCCAAACGGCCGTATAATAAAACTAAGTCTGCTTATAATTTGAGATTGATTGATACATCTGCTTTGCATGTATCGGCGTATACTGGTATAGGGATCCTGGTTCTGAAAGTTGGAATATTTAGATTCTTTCGCTAAAATCATACCACCAGATACCAAATCTTAACCCACACTTATGTATATCCTGGCAACGGAAAAGCTGTGCTACTTTCTGGGGAGGAACTGCGGCACCTTATTAATGAATGGGATGAGCAGACCATTATCAAAGAATGTGGGGCTAAGCTCACGAAACATCTGGTGGCTAGTTTTAGAAATGAAGCTATAGGTGGGGAATGAATTAGTATTCCGCTTAGTAACTCATACTATTTCTCGTGATCACATAGATTGAGAACCATAGAGATTTTGGAAACAGTAGTGCAATGTGTATTACCGAACAGAGAAAACTAACCTTTAACTGGAATTGGTTTCGATGCGTCTATAAGGAAGATGAACACAGATTTCGTTACTCAGTGTAAAATGCATTTATAGAAATTGCTTACACTTGCTGTTGATCAATAAAGAGCGGAATTGCCGTTTGATGTGCAAAAATGTCCCGGATATAGACTTCATCCATTAATGATTTGGCGGCAACTCTGTTGCCAGAGCCATACTAGACAGTACAGCATAGGTAAAGTATCAGCCCCTCACAAACACTACAATGGTCTGTGGTCTCCAGGGCTTAAAGAATAAGGGCATTACACAACCCGGAGGCAATCCACACAAAATATTATGTCCTCTACGTTGGTTTGGAAGAGTCGATATTGGTTTGCTTTGCAGAGGCATAGTCCAATGTTGCCGTTCTGCTGTCCATATCGTCTTTTCGTAAAACCGTATCCCACCAAGTATAGTCATGCATATTATCTCTTTAATATATGGCCCGGAGCTCAAGCCTTTGCCTAGTTGAGTCGTGACCTGGGAACAACATCGTAACTTCACTATACCCCGACAGGTTTAATTGTCACTTCCTTATAGACTTATCGTGCGTTTTAACAACCAGCTGAGTGTACCGAGTTTCAGGGGTACCTACAATGTTATGTGACTGAGATCTATTTGAACGTGGTCTTTCGAGATAATTCACTTACTCTACAAGAACCATAGTATCCAATCTAGTCAACACCTTTCGGAATAGAGTGACTCACTTAATCCGGCAACTGGAATAGAATCAGTGGGAAGTAGAAATGCGGTCAATCTGTTCCATTGTCATCAAACATTAAATGATGCATCGGTTATATGTAAATACAGAACCACACTACTGATGAGGTGGTTCACGTCTTCTACATCCTTACGATTCTCTTATTAATCGTAATGCCCGTACGTGGGCGAATATTGGAAGCTTGAAAGACGGCTCCAACTGTCCCGTTGACTGTAAACTTGTAGAAATAACTGGAAACATGGCATGTATAAATCTATAATTTATTCTGCGTAGCCAGTTGTATCAACTGACGTTCATTACCGACAAGTTTAGCCTCGAGCAAACCAGTAAGGGACGGTGAGGTCTATTTACTGTGGTACGCAATGAATGAACTATTTAGTTAGTTAGCACGTACTATGACATTAGGAGTAGTGGCAATCTTTCTAATCTGCAGACGGTGCGGCTAGTGGATTTCGGAATGAAGAAGAAACACACAGTCAGTATTTACGGCATTGTTTGCTTACGAAGCTCTCTCCTCGGCATCTTCTATCTCATCGCCACGTTAACACAACGTCCACAGCTGCGTTTGGAGAACACCTAAGCTTCTTCTACCTAATTGACTGGGCAGGTGTCTATAAAAATATCTGAGCATCTTATAGGCCATTTGCTCGAATGCATTTGGAAAAGGTACTGCCTGGTGAAAACAGTCTGGTATCACCAAGATTACACGCAGAGTTCGTGGAGGTTATTATTTGTCTACCTTAATTTTCAGTTATGTTTAACTATCACCACGTGCACACTCGCGGATCCGCCAAATGTCCAGTAAAGCTATGGTATTGCACGACGCCGAAGAAATTGTCCAGCGCTTTGTGATTCGTCAGTCAGCAAAATTGAAGTGAACAAACGCAGTAATAACCCTATCCCATGACGCGTAGCTAACGTTCAAAATGAAAACTGAATTACAGATTAGCTGGCCAAAACTATCTCTTTGATAATAGGGGACAAAGAACGGGAAAGCATTGTTCAATTCTTTTGTGTTTACGGCTACACTGGTAATAGTGGATGGATTGCCACTGTACTCAGTTTGGTTATGGAACAAGCCGGAATAAGTTTTGACGATGAAACCTCGGTTGCGACAATATAGGATATTCTCTTTTCCATCCTGTCATATTTATTAAGTTACATTGATGGTGGTTGTATGTAACAAGGAGAATCGCTCTGTTCCATCTGGACGTATGGATCGATTTTGGATAGGTGATGCTTGTGCTACACTATCTACGTCGTGCAGCAACGTCTATCTGCAAAATAGAGCGTTGCGGAACAAATGAGACAAGTCAAACTGATCACTTAGCATTTTTCGAAACAAGCAGCGTTCGCCAGCTTACTGCTTTTAGGGGACTTTCGCCTTCCACACCTGATCCTGAATTGTATAATGCCCACAGGTTCTCATGGTTGACCACTAGCTTTGTTGTTGACTGCTTAACTGGCTTCCAGGAATCAGGTCAATATGACTGGCCTTGGACTGGGAGCAAGCGTCGAAAGGACCTTGTTAGGAAATGTCTGGGATTTAGGTATACTATGCCAACACAAATGTGGAGTTTTAATGACTTTGGTAATATGTCATCCGATATCTCCACCGCCTGCAGATTTTGATGCATGCCTAATGTTTATGAGGACTGTACTGAACAAATACATATACCTTGTCCACATTTAATCACAATTGCTTCCCATGGTTAATGCCATTTTGGGAGCGTGACCAATGTGTGTTTATACTATTACGTATCCAAATAACTTCTCATCTGTTGACCCTTAGACAGTACAATCATTCGCTTCGGTTTCGAAGGACCATGTCCATAACAGTAATTCATAAGATACGTAAATATTCGCAGATCCGTATTGGGTCATGCTATTATCCCTTCGTTTTATTATATAGGGTTTTGCATTGTGCAGCACATTAGAGCAGTTCTACCCTGTGCCTATAAGCCTAAAATTTTATACCAAGCATTGTGGTTTCCTGCTGTTTTTACACCACTTCTAAACGGAAACATCCCAACCGTGTTTACAAGCATGCGCTATAGTTATTTAATATAAACCTTTGAAAGATTCAAACGCGTACGTGGCACAACGTTGCTCGTTATATACTGGACATATTTCAAAAACATTTTGTTATTCCGCAGCTAACTTCTTTATTGATGTGTGACAAAGTGCCGAATTTATGTCTGATGCGACAATTGTTCGTTGCATTGCATCACATTGGTTTAGTGAATTTCGTCTAATCGTTTTGATATTAGGACAAACCGGATGAAAGCGCAAGACGTTACCCAAATTCCCTGTGAAACGCAGCATCTTCATTGGAGTTCTTGACCCATTAGACATATCTTTGATTCAACAAACTTAGTGCAAAAATTGTAGAAGTGATTATCTTCCTTTGCATTTGTAGAGCTCATACGTAGTTTAGACAACTGACATCCTTATGCGCTACGGTATTAACCCCAGAAACCATGGGGATCTAAGACATATATATTGAGCAACCTAAAAATTGCCCAGCACAGATTAGAAGGTCTGCGCCTTCGTGAACACATGGTTCGACCATACTTATGTTCCCGCAGGGAACTAAATCACCTCATACATGTTGACCATCTAAAGTAAAAGACTCTGATGTTAGCTGTATTTGGTCAAACTCCGTAATAAGCATGTAACTAACTATTTGATCTCAGACACTAGCCAACAGTTATTTTATGTACCATGAATTGATTAGATAATTTTAATTTTCCCAAGCGATTTATTTTAAAGCATTGCTAAAATGTCACTGATAACAACTGATTACTTTTGGTCTCGTGTTCTCGAAACCATATTGGAAATTGCTAGTTACATTATGGTATTTATTTGTTTAATTTAACCTGGAAGTTCTGTATGATTGCGATTCACTAATGCCAATAGAATACAACAAAATGCAGGAAGTTTACCAAACGTAAACAGAGGTAATGACTGCCTTCACTCCATCCAGTTATCTTCGTAGCCTGCGGGAACTTAACAAAGCCACGACATAAACAAATAATGTTGCTGAATTTTTCAAGGAAAGTTGAAGATCCGGAGAGAAATTTTTTGGTTAGATGCAATGTAAAACTGAATAATTAGTGACATTTGGTGAGACGTTGCCC